TGATTATTGAGACACTGGCTATTAACTGTTGAGGCACTGACTATTAACTGAGACAGTAACTGTTGAGGCACTGACTATTAACTGAGACGGTAACTGTTGAGACACTGACTATTATCTGATACACTAACTGTTGAGACACTGACTATTAACTGAGACAGTGACTATTAACTGAAACACTAACTGTTGAGACACATACTATTAACTGAGACATTAACTGTTGAGACACATACTATTAACTGAGATATTAACTGTTGAACCTGATGAGACATTGACTATTAACTAAAATAACAACTGTTGAGACGCTGATTATTAACTGAGACAGACTGCTTAGACACTGACTATTAACTGAGACATTGACTGTTGAGACACTGACTATTAACTGAGACAGAATGTTAAGGCACTGACTATTAACTGAGACATTGACTGTTGAGACACTGACTATTAACTGAGACAGACTGTTGAGACACTGACTATTAACTGAGACAGACTGTTGAGGCCCTGACTATTAACTGAGACATTGACTGTTGAGACACTGACTATTAACTGAGACAGTCTGTTGAGGCATTGACTATTAACTGAGACACTGATAAAATTATTAAGTGAGACACTGACTATTAATCGAGACATAGACTGTTGACTGTTGAGACACTGACTATTAACTGAGACACTAAGGGTTGAGGCACTGACTATTAACTGAGACACTGATTATTAACTGAGACACTGACTGTTGAGACACGATTTTATTAACTGAAACATTGACTGTTGAGACACTGACTACTAACTCAGACACTAACTGTTGAGGTACTGACTATTAACTGAGATATAGACTGTTGAGACACTGACTATTAACTGAGACATAGACTGTTGACTGTTGAGACACTGACTATTAACTGAGACATTGACTGTTGAGACACTGACTATTAACTGAGACAGAATGTTAAGGCACTGACTATTAACTGAGACATTGACTGTTGAGACACTGACTATTAACTGAGACAGACTGTTGAGACACTGACTATTAACTGAGACAGACTGTTGATGCACTGACTATTAACTGAGACATTGCCTGTTGAGACACTGACTATTAACTGAGACAGACTGTTGAGGCATTGACTATTAAC